ACACTAAAGTTATACTTCACAATTATATAAAAATACATATAAGATCAAAATCATGTACATGTGCCGTGCATTAATGACATCCTTTTTGAGTGTGGACTATAGTGTAAAAATCAAGCAAATTACTTAAGTTTCTAGATTATTTGATGTTGCCATTAGCCTAGTGAGTTTGCTCGATTCTGATGAGATTGCTGTGATTCTTACACTGATCTACATTAAAAAAAGATAGCATTTATGTGGACGGCACTGGAATCTATTCTTGAAAAATATTGCATACTAATAATGAGAAAAAATGTGAAAGAACAAATATATTTGTTGGATGGAAGATGAAGATGAAAGTATGAAAAAAAATATATTGCAAAATAAAATAAATAATATAAGGAACATATCGCGGCAAATGGCATCGACAAAGAAACCTTTGTAATATCTTTATAAAAATTCTATATCATACGTTATATATTATATTCGTATGTGATATATTCAAGAATATAGATAAATATTTGTATATAAAAAAATACATTTTATTATATATTACCTTCGTTGAAGGTTATTCTCATATAAATTTTTAAATCTGTGGTAGACACTATATAAAGTTCTCTCTGGTAAACCATCGGATAAAAATTGTACAAATTTCCGTCTTTCTCTAGTATTACGTATGTATGTCAAATTGCCAATTCTTAATTGTAAAAACGGTTTACTTTTATTTACATCCCAATTGTGTATCTGTTTCAGAATCAACTTTGTAAAAACTTCTGCATTAGATACATATATTTTTTTATGGAAAATTTTTAAATTTTACTCTAAAAATATTTCTAAGAATTAGATAATAAGCAGATAGCTATATCTTGCACACTAACCTTGCAAAATGTTTTCCAATTATTAGCAATAATGTTGTCTTCTTCAAAAGAATATGAGCCTTTCTTGATTGGTATTATTTTTTCAAATTCTTCTATTTCCTTTCGTGTTGGCATATGAGACCCAGCTCGTGTTTCAATCTTATGCTGTGGTGGTACCGTGTGTCTCAATTGCACGTTTAAATTGTGCAATTTCTGCAATAAAAAATAGTTACATAAATATATATATGTATATATATACATTTTACTTAAAAAACTTTTGTCAAATTAAAATTTTTTCAAGATTATATTACCAATATTTCTATTCGGCAAGGACTCTCTGCTGATGCCATTTGCCGCGCTAGATATGTTGCGTCACTGCAATATTCTTCTATACCTTCATCTTCAGATTTATTCTTTACCCTATGAATGTATTTGCTCTCCCAAAATTTCTTCGAATCGTGATTTTTTTCCTGTAATGCCTTCATCCTATTTCCGATATCTTCATCTATGATAGAAAAGAATATATAATATAATATTCTTATATAACATTCTTATTTACACAATATTCCTTCATTATACCTTCATCCTTACGTTCAATTGTATCTTCACTCTTCAATTCTTTTTTTAAATCGCTATCTTTATTCTGTGATATTTTTATTCCACACACATTCTCTGATTTTTTCATTAAATTATTATCATTATCCTGTGACACTTCTATCCAATTCCGGATATCTTTATTCTTAAATCTTTTAAGTTTAACTTTATAGGCATTTTTATTCTTGGATTCTTCCATCGAATTATTATCTTGTGATATTTTTACATTACTTCCAATATCTTTATCTTTGCATTTAATTTCAGCACTTTCATTTTCCGATTTTTCCGTCGAATCGCTATCTTCATTCCATGAAACTTTTTCCTTACTCAGGATATTGTCACCTTTGTATTTAACTTCATGGATATCTTTATTCTCCGATACTTCCATTGAATTGCTACCTTCATCCTGTGAGGTTTTTTTCTCATTCTGGATATCTTTGCCCTTGTGTTTAACTTTATGGATTAAGTGTGTTGCTTCAACGCAATACTCTTCTTCTACATCTTCATCTATAGAACTAGCTTCATCAGTGTATTTGTCTTTCTTGTTGTTTTTATCCTGTGACATTTTTGTCCTTTTTCCAATATCTTCATTCTCCGAAACATACGTCAAATCGCTATTTTTATCCTGTGATATGTTTATCTTACTTCTAATATTTTTATTTTTGCCTTTAACTTTATGGGCATGTTTATTTTCTGATTCTTCCATTGAATCACTATCATTTTGTGATATTTTTATACCACTCCATATATCTTTATCTTTGCATTTAATTTGATGGGCATCTTTATCCAATTCTTTCACTGAATCGCTATCTGAATTTTGTGACATTTTTATCTTCTTCCTAATGTGTTTATTTCTATATTTAACTTTATGGGTATCTTCATTATCTGATTTTTCCATTAAATCATTATTTTTATCTTGCGACATTGTCTTTCTCTTCTCAATATTTTTATCCCTATGTTTAACTTTATAGACATCTTCATTCTCTGATTCTTTCATTAAATCACTATCTTCACTTTGTGATATTCTTGTCCTTTCCCTAATATCTTTATCTCTATATTTAACTTTATGGGTATCTTTATTTTTCATTTTTTTCTTCAAATCACTATTTTTATCTTGTGATGTTTCCATCTTAATTTTGATATTTTTGACAGGAGATTCTTTTTTATTGTGGACATCATTATCCTCGTATCCCATTCTGATATTACAAGTAATGCTATCTACTAAAACATAATCCAGTTTTATTAATAACGTCAAAGATTATATTATTATTGTAGATATAAATATCAACTTTGTTTAACTCTACTATATACGGCAATATGTTTTACAAACTCATTTTCGAAGATCAATTAATATTCATGTACATATATAAAGTTTTGTATTATTCAATAAGGTTCAAAAAGATTAATATTACAAAAACAGGCAAAACATTCAGACCCTATTTGAATCTATTAAATTGTTTTATACCAAATCATAACATCAAGGACAAAGTAACCCAGTTCTTGAGCAATCAGATATAATTTTTACAGGATACTCAGGTCATTTCATAGATTTTCATAAACATAAGCGAATGTTTAACAGTCTTTATATAGATTTCAATACTAGGTAAGTACGACCTCTTAAAAATTAAATATCCTTTTCTCGTTCGTAATTGCTTGTTAAATAATAGACGTATTGGTGATATTACCTCTTTCATATATACTTCGTAGACAATAAAATATATCTTGTACTCTTAAAAAAAAATGCAATAAATACGCTTTTAATAATATGTAATATAAATAACTTTTAAAATGATTTATCTCACGTGGTGAATTCTAGGTTAAAATAAGTAATGAAACGCCAATTCCACCATAAACTAGTCACCATAAAGTAACGTTCAGCAGAAAAAGCAGCTTTGCTACTGTGTAAAATTCTTGAATATGATTGATTTATACATTTAGATCCAATAAGGAACTAAGGGCAAGACCAATCATATTGAAGAATTTCATAACAGTTGCAAAGCTGCTTTTCTGCTGAACGCAACAATCGAGAAGGATTCGCATCCTGGGTATCAATCATTGGCTACGTTCAGCAGACTCAGCAGTTTTGCAACCGTTTTGTGATTCTTCGCTGTGATAGGACTATTCCTTTAAATATAAGGGTAAATTTTCACGAGCTGCTCAAACCGGCTGTTTCAGCGACAAAAAGAATCATGTGGTCAAAATTGACGAATATCAAACGCCCATTTTGATCACGTGATCCTTTTTGTCGCTGAAACAGCCGGTTTGAGCAGCTCTTGAAAATTTACCCTAAAAGTATGATCCAATCAGCGTGACGAATCATAAAAGGGTTGCAAAACTGCTGAACGCAGCCATTGAACTATATATACATTGGAATGGGCATCACCGCTGTTATGCATAGAAAATCGTGGCAATTTTGATCAGCCGCCATTTTGATTTGATGTGATATCAGAAGCTTTCAGATGCAGCCACAATAAAAGGAATAAGGAATTAGGCTGGAGTCCCATGAGGTGTATTTACCGCGTATCGCGTAACCGCGTAACCAATCAATAATCAGTAAAACGCGAAACCACAACAGCGGATCGCTTCTGATTGGTTACGCGGTTACGCGATACGCGGTAAATACATCTCATGGGACTCCAGCCTTAAGTTTAGTGTTCTTTAGTAAAGGCCATTCTACATTGGTCGTATCGTAGAAGTCGCAAGTTTGTTGCTTGAGCCAATCCAATGCTTCAATTTTTAAGTCGTATGTAGAGTCCTAGATTTATCAGAGAGGCGCAACCGGTGTTATGCATTCTGATTCGCTGTTGCAATCTAACCAATTGCGTGACTTGGCAGCCATTTATAGTACTAGTGACATATTTCTATTTTATTTTATCCTATACATTCTATCTCACATTATCCTACACGTCTTATCTTGTTTGACATAATTTAAAGGCAGTTTCATAGCATGTCGGCCATGTTTAGTACTCTCCTTAGCACCTTTGTCATACTGACTTAAGCTGGTTGCGCCTCTCTGATAAATCTAGGGCCGGTATTCATAGTTGAATCTTATATTTAAGACCGTCTTAAGTACAGTCTTAAGATGTCATGAACCAATCAGAAGGCCGCATTAGCGACTTAGGCCCGTTTCTACCAACGCAGATTAACTTTAATCTCGGTTCAACTTACTCTTTGTCTTTTTCTAGTTCTAAAGATTAGAAAAAGACGAAGAGTAAGTAGAACCAAGATTAAAGTTAATCTACATTGGTGGAAATGGGCATTAAGACATTACTTAAGACGGTCTTAGGGCCTGAGCACAATAGAGGAACAGGAATTAGATATTAAGATTTTAACCTATCAGAAACTGATTACATCGGAATACACGGTTTCTGATAGGTTGAAATCTTAATATCTAATTCTTGTTCCTCTATTGTGCGCAGGCCCTAAGAACCGACTATGAATACCGGCCTAGGACTCTAATTGGAACATATTGGACTATTGGAGCATGCGACGCGAACAAATCCTACGTCTCTAGTTTCGTTCATTTCTTCCGTGGCGTTTCGAATCTTTCGGTCAGTAAAAGGATCCGTTCAAAGTGAATGGAACGTTCGTGAACGACTCATCTTTAGTTTGGAGAGTGCAAGAATAAAAATCAGCCTTTTATAACCAACCTTTTTTTCCTTTTCCTTTATCTTTTTAATATTTAAAAACGTGCAATTGCAAAGAACAGTCAGCAACAGTCAGTAACAGTTGCATGTCAAATTCGTTGCAAGGCATTTGTAATCATTTATAACGCTGTGTGGTGTGTAAAGATCGATCCATTCTTTTAGATGCATCACATCAAAACGTCAAATGCGTAAAAGTGTACATATATAAAAAAAGATATCTTTAAGGTAATATTAGATAAGATGCAAATTACAAGTAACATTGCTTTTAATTGTAACGTAATGTTTTCAGATAATGAAATAATCTCTCTCATAAAAATACCAATAAACAAAACGCCGCGGTCTATCCTGGATAATATTAAGAGCAAGGCTTACCCAACAATTAATGAAAAACAATACAATATGGCTTCAGCATCCAGTACAAGCGCACGTAGCTTGTTCATTGAGTCGAAGATGAGATTGGCAGACAGAGTGCAAGTTAATGTCAATAATATTGCTTCACTTGCCAGGCAGATACAACGAGGTTCCAGAAGCAACGAAGTAATATCTTATTTTTCTAATTAGCTTTTAGGAAAATTGATTGATATTGTTATGATTCTGTCACTAAATATATCCTGTTGTCCTAATAGATTTTAACGCATGCAGCAAGGAATTTTGCACAACAGGAGCATGGATTGGAAATGATAGAATCCAATTTGAAGAAACTTGCACTCATTGCTACTCATTTGGAATATCAAATGGATGCGATTGATAAAAGTTCGGCAATATTAGAAGAAGTCACTGAGCAAGTACGATCTATGCAACGATAATGTAGGATTGATATACATATATATATTTTATGTTGTACATAAGAGTTCTACGCAATGAATATCTGCAGGATATATGTATTTATATAAACAATATTTATACAAATGTTATATTGCAGGATTGATTATTAATTTTAAGAACATGCGTCTTTCTAAATTTGTGATATATTATAATTTGAAAATTATTTATGTAACATTTTTCTCTTATTTTTCTTTTTGTTATGAATCTTTATCAAGTATATGAGAAGACTAGAAAATGTTTAATTTCTGTGATTTGTAGATTAAGAAAGAATATGCGTTGCATTTATTATTCAAAATATTAATTTATATGTATAAATAAAAATATGACTTATTGTATGGAGAAGAAATATAGTTAAAATAATATTTTCTCTCTTTAAGGTTACTTCAATATGTATTTGTTTTTTTTTAGATGCTTGAATTTGTACATTATTTACATAAATATTTAAATAGGGAAATAATTATGTAAATACTTAAATAAAAGGAAACAAGAAAGGAGAGAAGTAGGAATTAAATAACACAATATATCAGTTTCTTTGATATTTATTCCAGACAATTAGCCTTAAAATTAAAAATAATTCTTATAAACATTATGACATATCGACAAACTCATACATAAACGTACTTAAGGGTTTCTAAAATGTGTACACAAAATCTGCTTCTTGTTTTTAAATTGAAGATAATACATTGCGTTATAATTAAAACATTTTTGAAAATAAAGTTTAAAGTTTAGATCTGGCCATTTTAGAAATTATTTTATACCATATTAAAAAAATCGACGTAACGTCAGATTCATCAAGGATAAAGAATATCATAATGACCAGGACGATATAATAAGTGCACAGCTGGTATAGCACCTTCAGGGAAGTCGTGGGCAGTCACTTCAGTTCCTGCACCTCTGTCCATGTAACGAACTCTAACACCAGTTCCTAGGGCACTACTCATTGCTATAATGTGAATATGGTCAGATTCCTTATACATTGGTTCGACCTCCTAGCAAAAAAAGAATAATAAATACATTAGAATAAATACAAAAAATTCAACACTAAGAAATAGAAGTAATGGTCATGGTATAAATATAAAAAAATGTACTAGAATAAATATCTATATAAAAAGGTTAACGAAATGTTAACATCAGATACGAACCTGATGGCAAAATTCTGAAATAGTACGTTCTCCCTCAATAAAATGTTGGTAAAAATCAGCATCACGCTGCAACTGACCAGATGTAATTAATCTAAGATACACAACAACATAATCGGAATAACCTTGTTCATTGAACAATTTATGTAATTCCATATGACTGGACTCTGTGTCACCACCTACTTTGTCAATAACTTCCATAAACTGTAACAAAAATTCATGAAAACAACTCATGTTCCTCACAATAAATTCTATATTGTGCTGTCATACTAGCTAATACAAACATCATATATACATACATTTATATATACTATGCAGACTATAAAAATCTTGTATGTTATATAATAATATATATATTTTCAAAAAATATAACATTCTCATAATTTATGTCATGTTTATAAGCCAAAACACATGTAAATAAAATAATTTAAAACTAAGAGTAGAGTCTCACCGTATCATGAAAGTCTTCAACTGTAAATTGGGGAAAACCTAGAGCTACAAGGCTATCCTTGCTTTTTAAAGCTAGATCACGAAACTTATCGTACTCATCTTTGTTCCCAATTAATTTCTCCAAATAAGCATAACTAAATGCTCTAAAGAAACAATTGCCATCTGGTCTAGTTCTCCTAATGTAAGAATATTTTTGAGCCAAGGCTTTTGCCTTTGAAAGATATACATCGTCTTCTGCATATTCTTGTTCTAAGCTTTTCAGTGGTTCCTTTTCACCAACTAATGCTATAGATTCCGAAATCTGAAATGTAGAAGATAAATATTAAAAAATAAAAATCTTGTGGAAGTTTTAGTATTCATTTAAAAGAAAACATTCTTTAATTCGTCAAATTAGTATTTACGAAGTGATACTAAAATATTAAAAACAATAAAATATAATTGCTTGACTATAGCTATTGTGTGTGTTTTATCAAGTAATAAATTGTAACTAATAAAATAAATAATCTTTATTTCACATTGAGACTCTCACAAATAAAAAAAAACTTCTATAAGGCTAATTTGAATATATAATAAATTTTATTTCCAATCACATGAATTAAATAGAACTAATACGTCTTCGAAGATACATTTTAAACATAACACAAAGGGCATATTAACCTCCTTTTCGATACGTCTCTGTTGTTGAAGTATCAACTCGTCCTGGTTGACATCTGTAATAAAGATTAGGATAATAAATTACCCGGCTTGATTTCTCAATAATAAATTACGTTAAGAAACCTGTGTTTTCTACGGGTTGCTCCTTAAGCGAGTTATTTTCCATATCTCAGAAGACTGCTAAATTTCACAACGGCTGTCAAATTATCAATCGTAAACAAAAGCTCGATGTTTCCATGTGAAGTTGAAAAGGTATTTGCCAGCATTTGCTGCTGTGCTTCACGCTTTTGTGTTGGCAGCATTATCGAACAGATTCAATCTAGGTAGTTTACGTGACGAGTTAATACAGATGGTAATGGCACAATCGACTGGCTGGTAGTTGCACAATCGACTCGCCGCGGTATTCTTTGAATTCATCTCAAATTCACGTATACAATTTAATTATACCAATTACTGTCGATGAAGTGATATTGAAAAATGGCAATTTGAAAAAAAAATTAGGTTATTTTTGTAATTAAACACCTTAATTACAAATAAAATTTTTGTCACATTATTGATGCTAATTGAATATTTAGAGTTTTTTGATTAATTTGCTGTTGAATTTTCTAATATAGAAACATTTTCTACATGGGAAATAATAATTTTTACAAAATGTTATTTAACTTGTTCTCATTATATTTTTATATACTAAAAATATAATATATAATTTTATATACTAATAATAATTTTAATTATAAACAAACAGTAAATAAATTTTACGTTTAAAAATGATATTTCTAAATCATAAAAATTTTTTGTCATCTCTGTCAAATAATATTTTGTTATTATTCTAATCAACAAAAATATATTGGATTCATATTTTGCATTCCTAAGTTTTATGGATATACAGTCGCAATTAAATTTAACTTAGTTATCAACAATCGGTTATGTTTTGCATTACCATTTGATTGAGAAAAAATGTAATTATTATATATTTATTAGCATTATTTTGATTTCTCTAATATATTGATTATAAAATAACATTTAATATTAACAAATACTTTTTAGTACATAATATCTAATATTTCATTTGTAGGTAAATTTATACGTGCGTTCCATACATATACGTTGTCTTTACTGACCTCTACTGTAAAAGACTATGCTTATGGTGCATTCGGGGAGACGCTATTAGCGCTACTTCTGTTATTCGATCTTTGTTGTTCATTAGACGTAAAACAAGGATAGAATGACAGAAATAGCGCTAATAGCGTCTCCCCGAACGCGACGTAGCCTATGTAGTTATATTTTAAAGCCATAGTAACTAGTAATAGCGGTTTATTCAAATGTTCGATTTGTTAATTTATTATTAAATAATAAACAATTTTATATTGTCTTTTCTGTTAGAGAATTTATTTAAGAAATAATTTAACGAAACAAACTAATCTTAAATTTTGTTTATTCAGATATAGACACACAGATAATTATGATAATTATATTTTATTTAAAATATTTTGACGTAATGCATTAATATACAATGTAACTTAATTTTTTAGCTTAGCAGATAAAGGTAAACATTTATTTTATGTATATTTTTCTAAATTTTATTTAATAAATTTTTATATTAATATTTTATTTTATAAATTTATATTTTTCTAAAATTTATTAAATAACAATTTGATTATTACTTACAAAAAAGATCATCCGTAGCCAACAATCGACACAAAGTCATTTTGTTGCATGATAACGCTCGACTGCATGTCGCGAAAAGCGTGAAGCATGCACTTCGAGGGCTTGAATGGGAAGTTCTGCCGCACTCAGCGTACTCTCCAGATTCTTGGCATCGTCGGATTACCATCTCTGCCGATCGATGCAACACGCACTTACGGACACACACTTCTCCAGTTACAACGAAGTCCAAAAATGGGTGGATGAATGGATCGCC